AACCAGAAAGACTGCCCTTGAGTGCTTTGGAGCAGTTGGGTCTCGAAACAGCAAAAGGATGGGTGAGATTTTCAGCAGCATCTGAGTTGAGGCAAACCTGGGGTTGGGTGATGTTATGGAACTGGAGTTGGATGGTTTTAGTGATGATGCAGGTTTGCAAGAATGTTACCGTGGTAATACCAAGGCCATTCCTGAACTTAGATGGTGAGTGACATCAGAATACGAGTCTGAGAACCTTGTCACCAAGTCCAGTACTACTCATGCTTAAGACCTGAATGCAAACTAATAGCAGCGGTGAAAATCCCTTAGACCAGCCTGTTCTGGGCGATCAGTAAAACCTTTCTATCAAATACCATTCTCATTCTTTCAGTGCTGGCTTCTCCATGTAAACTTGATCTCATCCATAACTCACCTGCTAGTATCCTGACTGTTATTGAGTCCAGTTCACTTGTTATGTCTGTCACTGTAGATCTCCATTAGCTCCTGATCCGGCCCCCCCCTTCAGTTTTAAAATCCTCATTTAGGTCTACGAGCCTTGGCCTCGTTCCCTGCCTCTGTCTAATTCTCTCCAGCCATACAATCCTCTGTAATTTCTTGTGCATGTCCAATTTTAATTTCTCTGCTACTGCCTTCAGCAGCTTACCCCTGATGCTCCGCAATTCTGTCCTAACCTTGCCACTGTTCTACCTTTCTCTCTCTCTCTCTTGCTTAAGATGTTCCTTAAACTTGCTAAAATAAAGCGAAGGACTACAGATGCTGGAGATCTGAAACACGCACAAACAGAAATTGCTGGAGAGTCTCAGCAGGTCTGGCAGCATCTGTGGAGAAATAGCACTCAGTGTATGTAGGGTCACTGGACTCAAAATGTTAACTCTGTTTTCTCAGCACAGAACCTGCCAGACCTGCTGAATTTCCCCAGCAGTTTCTGTTTTTGTATGTTCCTTAAAGCTGTCAGCAGCTCTCTGCAAACTTGAGACCCTTCAAAATTAGACTGATCTGGCAACTGATCCAGTGGTGGTGACGTGAACATGGCAAGGAATAGCAAGGCTCAAGGCTCTATTTGATTGGACAATCCTCACTGAGACATGCAGAAACCTAGCCAGATAGTACAAAATTAGGAAAAATAAATCTGATTTAAAATGATGCACCTAAAGCGAACTGCAGGAGGTAGAAGAAACAGAAATTTTCCAGCATCAATTTTCTTCTGTTCTGCAGTCATAAAATTAATTTTAAGGGACCAGGGAGATTGTTTAATGTTACTTATCAGTTAATATGCTATTTAAAAAGTGGCTTGCTCCTGACTAACTTTATCGGCTGATCAGTATTGGAAATGGAATTGTGAATTTCTTGGTTCTGTAACTGACTAACCCTTATAGGCTATGAAATCCAGGTTAAAATGCTATGATCCATGGAGTCGTATAGCACAGAAGAGACCCTTCAGTGTATTGAATCAGTGCTAACCTATCTACATGAATTCCACTTTCCAGCATTTGGCCCAAGGCCTTGAATTTTATGATATTTCAAGTCTGTATTATGTCTCCCTTGACTAACCATATTTTCACTTGTTTCAGGATGACACAAGATCGAGAGTTCATTTAAACACCTTTGGCTTCAACACCAATGGGACTTTGAATGTCAACCTCACGAGTCTTCGATTAAAAACAACTATTGACCTGACGAAGATCACAGTGAGTTGTGTTTTGGTGAAATGCAACGCAGTTTAGAAGTCCATAACGCTGTGCCACAGTAATATGTCCTGACTTACTGGATTGCTCAAAGCTTAGTTTGAAATTACCACCGTGCCTCTGCCCAAGCTTCCCTCTGCTGCTGGGCAGTTCTGTAAGTGGCTAACAGTCATCTTCTCCAGAGTTAATGGGGATTTGGTAACAATGTCTAGCCAGTGTTGCCACATCCTGTGAAAGAATTAAAAAAGAAATGCTTGGCTTGGTTCAGCCTCTTCAGAAGAAGAAAGTTATGGTCCTGCACTTTGCCTAAAGTAACTATTTCTAATTTATAGCTGTAAAAACACCTTGATTACCCCATTCTGTCCTCGTCCAACAATTAGAAATGTGCAGTCACTAAACAATTGAGTTGGCAAGGGGAAGTGTCATTTTATATTTCCCCATCAGTTGTTGGGCTCTGGAGGAATTCACAGCAGGCTTGGGGGTAAATGTGGTCCATTTCCGATCACCATACTCAGGTGTAGCCGAGAATAGATTCCCATCTTGATGCACTTTATGCTTGCAAAGCTGATGTATTAAAGAAGCCTCAGGATGAAAAATCTTGAGTCAAATGTCACAAAGACTGTCTCGGTGACCCAGTATTGGAGTGTTTTGTCATCCTGATTCGGGCCCTGACTGAGCCTGGTTTCTGTGGTTGGCACTGGGAACAGTTAAACTTTATTTTGGTATTGCAGTGTCACCTAGTTGTGGCCCCTGGAGTCCCATGTGCCAGAGTTGAAATTGAAAATGAGCACCAAGGGTTATTACAAAAAAAGGCAATCTTTTCTACCCACTCCATGTTCCCTCAAATCACTGGAAGCTCATGCTGTGTGTGGAGAACATACAGGGGATCCCTGCGTTGTGAATGGGTTCCATTCTGGAGTCTGTTTACAAGGCCATTTGTACCCAAGTTGGGATGTAATGTAGGATAATGGAAAGCAGCTGTTTGTAAGTACAGAAAATGTTTGGATATAGGGTCTTTAAAATTGCACCCCTTTATGGGATTGCATTTGTAAATACAAGCATTTGTAAAATAGATGTTCATAAATTGGGCACCCCTTGTATACTAAAAGCATGTTTCGCTGAGGCTCTGCAGGCTAGCTGGCCTGTACTTAGACCATAAGACATAGGAGCAGAAATTAAGCCATTCAGTCCATCGAAATTGTGGGCTCGATATGTGCACAGGGAGGGCTTTGTCACCATTGTGTTGGGTGGTTTATTCAGGTAGAGGGTAGGATTGCTGGTTACTAGCTCTCCAGTTCTGTTTTGCTTGAAGAATGTGCACTTTGTTACTTCAGTCAAATTGCACCCCCCAACGTTTGCGTGCATACACTCTCTCCTGTTGGTCCATCTGAGCTGTATGGATACAGGATGCTATAGGGTGCCCTGTCTCTGAGCGATGAGGGCTGGTATGGGGGTAAAGTTGACCAAAGGCATTCAATAGCAAATGGCATAGGGAAGACTACAAATGTCCCAAATCTGAAATGTAAGTGAGCATCTTTTATAGCACCTTCCGGGAATGTTCAAAAGCTCTTAACCAATTAAATTTAAGCGATTCACTTCAAAAACTACCATGGGAACAACAATGTGAAAATGACTAGAGAATCTATTTTAGTCATCTTGATTCAGAGATAACTATTGTCGAAAGCCAGGGAGAATTTGCTTACTTTTCTTTGAAATGCTGTCTCCTTGTCATTATCTCATTGTGGCAGTTCGTTCTGTGTAAATTGCATGCTGTTTCCTACATTATAGCTGTGACAACATTTCAGGGAGTTTTATTTTTGCAGAGACTAAGCTGTTAAGTTCCTTCAAGGCTGCGATAGATTTTTAATCAGTCAGGGAATTGGTTATGGGGAAAAGGCAGGAAAGCCAAAATGAAGTTTATCAGACCCATCATGATCTCATTGAATCTGCTGTGCCATGCTTTGGGCCAGATGACTGACTTCTGCTTGTACATCGTATGGTCATTTTCAACGTAACAACAGCAGTGATGCTTCAAAGTAACTCCAGCTGTAAAGCCCTTTGAGATATCCGCTGGTCATGAAAATCCCTGTTTAAATGTAGGCGTTTAGAAATGGTACCATTTCTGTGCAACCACTCGCCATTGGATCTTTAACATCCATCATCTGAGAGGGAGGATGGGGCCTCTGCATAATATCTCATCTAAAGACAAGGTCTCTGGCAGAGCAGCGCTCTCATCAATACTGCACTGAGGTGTCAGCCTTTTCATTTTTGATCAAAGTCTCAAGCTTGGGACTTGATCCCACAGCCATCCGACCTGGGAAGAAAGAGAGGCTAGATCAATGCGTGGCCTTTCACTAGCTGGCAGGTATTTGGAAGGTGTGAAGCAGGGCTCATGTGAATGTGTGACATAAAGTAGAGACAACCCTGGTAATTAAAGACCAGTGAGCCTTACTTCGGTTGTGGGTAAAGTGTTGGAAAGGATTATAAGAGATAGGATTTATAATCATTTAGAAAGGAATAATTTGATTAAGGACAGTCAACACGGTTTTGTGAAGAGTAGGTCGTGCCTCACAAACCTTTATTGAGTTCTTCGAGAAGGTGACCAAACAGGTGGATGAGGGAAAAGCGGTTGATGTGGTGTATATGGATTTCAGTAAAGCGTTTGATAAGGTTCCTCATGGTAGGCTATTGCAGAAAATACGGAGGCATGGGATTGAGGGTGGTTTAGCGGTTTGGATCAGAAATTGGCTAACTGTAAGAAGACAGAGGGTGGTGGTTGATGGGAAATGTTCATCCTGGAGTTCAGTTACTAGTGGTGTACCGCAAGGATCTGTTTTGAGGCCACTGCTGTTTGTCATTTTTATAACTGACCTGGATGAGGGCGTAGAAGGATGGGTTAGTAAATTTGCGGATGACACCAAAGTCGGTGGAGTTGTGGATAGTGCGGAAGGATGTTGCAGGTTACAGAGGGACGTAGATAAGCTGCAGAGCTGGGCTGAGAGGTGGCAAATGGAGTTTAATGCGGAAAAGTGTGAGGTGATTCACTTTGGAAGGAGTAACAGGAATACAGAGTACTGGGCTAATGGTAAGATTCTTGGTAGTGTGGATGAGCAGAGAGATCTCGGTGTCCATGTGCATAGATCACTGAAAGTTGCCACCCAGGTTGATAGAGTTGTTAAGAAGTCGTACAGTGTGTTAGGTTTTATTGGTAGAGGGATTGAGTTTCGGAGCCATGAGGTCATATTGCAGCTGTACAAAACTGGTGCGGCCGCACTTGGAGTATTGCGTACAGTTTTGGTCGCCGCATTGGAAAGGGTGCAGAGGAGATTTACCAGGATGTTGCCTGGTATGGAGGGAAGGTCTTGTGAGGAAAGGCTGAGGGACTTGAGGCTGTTTTCGTTAGAGAGAAGAAGGTTAAGAGGTGATTTAATAGAGACATACAAGATGATCAGAGGATTAGATAGGGTGGACAGTGGGAGCCTTTTTCCTCGGATGGTGATGGCTAGCACGAGGGGACATAGCTTTAAATTGAGGGGTGATAGATATAGGACAGATGTCAGAGGTAGGTTCTTTACTCAGAGAGTAGTAAGGGCATGGAATGCCCTGCCTGCAAAAGTAGTAGACCTGCCAACTTTAAGGGCATTTAAATGGTCATTGGATAAACATATGGATGATAATGGAATAGTTTAGGTTAGATGGGCTTCAGATTGGTTTCACAGGTTGGCGCAGCATCGAGGGCCGAAGGGCCTGTACTGCACTGTAATGTTCTATGTTCTATGTTAAACGTTAAACTGCCCCAGAAAGGGAAGAAATCAGAGGTCTGGTAATGACCTGGTGGCAGATTTTTCAAAAGTTGCTATGAAAGGGTGTTTTAGTACTCAAAAGTAAGCAAGTCATACAGATGGAGCAGTGGGAGGTGGTTGGGGATGCAAAAGGTGAGGCACAGAAACGAAAGGGATCCATGTCAGAAAGACCAAGGTAGGCCAGTCCTAATGAAGGGCAAACAAATGTCTTAGTTCGTTCATGATTGTAACACAAGTATCAGCAACAGCCAGGTTATAAAATTGTCACAGCAGAACAGAAAGCCACTTGACCCTTCATGTCTACCCTGACCCTCCTGAAGACAAACTTGCACAATTCTACTCCCTTTCATCACACCTCTGTGCATTCCTGCTCCGAGTTTCTCGATCCCTCCCCACCATGTGACCCCTACTTGAGAGCATCCCACCCAATAGTTGATAGTTGATAGCTCTTGACCCTCAGTGTCCTGCCTTGAGTAATATTACATGATGCAAATTCATAGTTCAGGCATACTGCGTCTGATGTGGCTGAAATGGGAAATGCAGCAGGATTTTTGTGCTAAACACTATTCATCGTCCATTAGCTACATCGTTTCTGTTTTTGACCTTTTTTTTTAATTATCTTGCTGATATGTTTTCTGACTCCTTTCATACACCAGATGGGGTTTAGCCTTGCAAAAACGAAGACTGATGGTGTGGCTGCCTATACAGTGAGTATTATTAAAGGAAGAAAGTTCCTATGCGCCACATTCTTTCTGCAACATTAGGCTGTAGGTTGTGCTGCAACCTCTGAGTGCAGCTCGAGTTCATAGCCTTCTGAACTTGAGTGGGAACTACCCACTGAACCACAGCTGACACTCTCCAAACTGTTGGCATTGCTTCATTTAAAACAAGCCTTCATTAAAACTGATGTGACTGTTTCTAGTTTCCTGTATTCCGGCACTTTCCTGCCTCTGCTTTAAGGGCAGTGAGGCTTTAGACAGAGCGCTGTACAAAGTCAGTTTGTTGCTTCTGCTACTTTGCCCACTGCATGGGCTGCAGTTGTTTGAGGTGGACTGTGCAGACCTGACAGTCCCATTTCCAACAGTAACCTTCCTTTCCAGCACTAAAGAAATGCTTCACAGGTGTAATGGTAATTTTAAATACTTCTGCTTCTCACGTGTCTGCCTTAAGTAATGAGGTTATGTTTCTGGTACAGGTAGATGACTCTGACACATGTTTGCTCGAGAAATATAACAGTTCTTCAGGTGATTCCCTCACCCTCTTCAAATTTGATCTAACACTGAAAAAGTAAGTATTGCCTCATGTAGAAAATTGTCTGTACTCCTTATGGAAAAGGTTATATTCTACACTCTGGACTCTTTAGTCATGTCTTAGAAAATGTTTTGGCTTGTTCTGGTGCTACATTTGGCTTCTTGTGGAGAGAAGGCCTGTTCTCTGGCTCCAGCTTTTAAAAGCTGAGGCAACAAATAGTCTGTTAGCTATATTGGAAAACCATTCAGGGCAAAGCAGCCTGTTTGATAGGCATCACTTCTGACACTTCCAACGTTCACTCCCAGTGACAACAATGTGTGCTAGTGACAACAATGTGTGCTAGCTACAAGATGCACTGCAGCACCACACCACCACTGCTCAGACAAGCACTGCCAAACCCAGGATCTGTACCATCTAGAATGATAGGGGCAGCATATACATGGGAGCACAACCACCTACAAGTTTCCTGCATAAGCCACATAACATGATGACTTGGCACTACATCACCATGTTTCACTGTCGTTGGGTCAAAATTTTGAAAACAGCACCCCCCACCCCCCACCAACATCTTCCACTAATATCTTGTCTGGAGTAATTCATCAAGCAACACCTTCCACGCCCACGACAATGACCATTTTAGAAGGACAAGGCCAGCTGATATGTGGGAATGCCACCCCCTGCAAGTTCTCCTCCAAACCACATACTGTCCCGACTTGAACATATATCACCGTTCCTTTAGTGTCGCTGGTTGAAAGTCTTGGTCATCCCTCCCTCAGGGCACTGTGGGTCTACCTCCACCACATGGACTGCTGTGGTTCAAGAAGGCAGCTCACCACCACCTTCTCAAGGGCAACTAGGGACGATCCATAAATGCTGGCTGAGCCAGCAACACCGATGCCCTGCAAGTGAATAAAAAAAAGGTTAGGGATGGGTAATCAATGCTTGCCTAGCAAGTGAAGCTCACATACCATGGAGAATAAACAAGGGAAAAGTATTTATTTCGTCTTTACGCTATTCCAGCAACCCCTCTGGCAACCACACCTCATCCTCTCTTAATGATCTTGACTTTACCCAGCATTGTATCCTCATCTAAATCGCGCCATATTTTACCTGTAATATGGAGACGTGAACATTCGGAGCAGGAGTAGGCCATTCAACCTGTTGAACCTGCCCCCACCAATCAATATGATCATGGCTGATCATCAAGCTCAATACCCTTTAGCCACAAGAGTTATATCTACCTCATTCTTATTAAAAAAAAACACAATGTTTTGGCCTCAGCTAGTGAGTGTTATTAGTGAATTCTTAAGGCTCACCACTTTCTCAGTGAAGAAATTTTTCCTCATCTCGGTTTTAACAGGTTTACCCCTTAAATTAAACTATGACCCCTGGATCTGGCACTGCCCTGCTCCCCTCCTCACCCCAACATGGGGAACATCCTTCCTACGCCTAACCTGTCTAGTCATACTGGAATTTTATAAGTTTCTTTGAGATTGCCCCTCATCCCACTTAAATCCACTGAAAAGAATCCTCACTGATATATCTCTCCTCATATGTCAGTCCTGCCATCCCACGAGTCAATTTGGAAAACCTTTGCTGCACTCCCTCTGTAACAAGAGCATCCTTCTTCAGATAGAGAGCCCAAAGCTGTGCAGACAATTCCATGTGACCTCACAAATATCCTGCATAATTGCAGCGAGGCATCCTTGTTGCTGTATTCAAATGTTCTTGCTATGAAGGCTGACACACAGTTTGCTTTCTGATGCCCTTGTTGAGCCACATTTGGAGACTTGTGCACAGTTCTGGTTGCCACAGTGCTGGAGGGGTGTGGAGGCTTTAGAGAGAGTGCTGGAGGGAATTTGCCAGGTTGTTGCCTGCTTTCTGGGGCGGGTGGGGTGGGCGGGTGGGTGTTAGCTGCAGGGAGAGAGATTGAACTGACTTGGTTTGTTTCCACTTGAACGTCAGAGGCTGAGGGACTGCCTGGTGGAGGTTTGCAGGATTGTGGGAGGCTTGGTGGGAGTTTTGCCCCCCTCCAGGGTGGAGATGTCGGATACTAGGGGACAGGCGTTTAAGGTAAACGGGGGAAAGTTTAAAGGAGATGTGAGGGGCAGATTTCTTTTTAAACAGAAGGTGGTGGTGGTGGAGTGTGCTGCCAAGGGAGGAGGTGGAGGAAGATGCAATAGCAGCATTTGAAAGGCGCCTTGATGGACTCGTGACTAGGCAGGGAATGGAGGGATCTGGACTGTGCAGAGGCAAATAGTTTTTAGTTTAGGAACATGTCATGTGTCAGCATATCCTTGATGGGCTGAAGGGCCTCTTCCTGTGCTGTACTGTTCTCTACCTGCTTGTACCTCTGCCCTTAGTTGGAGCGACTAATGCACAGGTCTCATTGAGATCTCACCCTCCCTCAATACACAGCCATTCAAATAAGTAATCTACCTTCCTATTTTTGCTACCGAAGTGGATAACCTCGCATATATCCGCATTATGCTGTATCTACCATGTATTTGCCCACTTACCTAGCCTGTCCAAATCACACTGCAACATCTCTGCATCCCCCTCACCCTTCCACCCAGCTTTGTATCATCTGCTTTATAATGACAGTTGTCATGGTCACTCAGACTAACTTTGTTCCAGGTTTATTGACTGAATTTAAATTCCACCAGTTGCTGCAATGGGATTTGAACCTGTATTTTCAGAGCATTAGCCAGGTCTCTGGATTACTGGATTCACGTCCATTGACACCACTGGGTCACCATCTTATCTCTGTGGAGAACAAAAAACACAAAGTCAAAAAATGTTGTGTTGGAGTTGGTATTAGTCATGCTGAAATTGTAATGTTGAAGTCCTATGTCAACAGAGTTTTCATGAAGAAACAAGGTGGACAGAAAAAGCTGCAGATAATGCAACCGGATGATCAACAGAATTCTGAAACGAAAAATACACCAACTGTGAAGAAAGATGACCAACAGGCAAAGAGCCCTGGGCCAAAAGTAGCGGTCCAAAAGAATGTTAAACCTGGTAATCACATCTATGACTCGTATTTTCCAAAATAAAAATGTATACAGCCGGGCTCTAATTTTTTTTATTTCCCTCTCTCTGTTGCTTTTGCTGATGTGTGCAGTGGTGTGTTTGAAGCACTATTGATATATCTGGAGGAGACTTGAAATGTTTACTTAGCTTTGATCTGGGGATGGAGTCTCTAAATAGTGGCTTCATTGCAATTAAATCGGACATTTGAAAAAAAATGCAACGACCTTGTCTGAAAACCTCCACTAGTTGCCTACTGGATTCCGGCAGTCTCCCTGTTGACAATGAGAAATAGCATGCAGTATTGTAAGTTTCAGATTTCAGTCTTCCCCCGATACATCAGAGGCGTAGTGTAGTTTCTGCGCCCTGGTCCCGTGCTGTATTCGAGCAGACAAATGCTGGGGAATTCCGCAGAAGATTAAAAGGAGAGAAGAGCTAACTCTCCTTTGCTGCGGTCTTTTGCCAAGACCCAGATTCTCTAGCGCAGTAATCCACTTTTTTTTGAATATTATAAAGTATTATGTCAAGCAGTTACTGCGGTCATGCAATTGTGTTAATGTCAGTGGCTGATCCTAATTTAAGGGAATACAATACTGTCTACGTTGTTGTTCTTCAAAAGTAGTTCATGGGACAGCGTTTATTTTGTAATAGGTGTAAAAGGAAAGAGATAATTTGCATTTTTATTCCCGCCTTTCACAATCTCTGGATGTCTCAAAACCTTCTCACAGACAGTACAATATTATTGGCATATGCTACTGCAGGGACATACAGTAGCCAAACTGTACACTGGAAGGTCCTGCAAAAAGCAAGGGATCAGTGACCACCTAATTCATTTTGGTATTGTTGGCTAAAATTTTGCCAAGTTATTGAGTGAATGCCCCTTGTCCTTCTTGAACAGTGGTGTGGAATCTTTTATGCCCATTATAGATGGACCTCAGTTGAATGTTTTGTAGAAGAAGATACCCAGGCTGTGTCCCTGAATACTTTGCTGAGGCATTAACATAGACTGCAAAAACCTTTATAATGCCTTTAAGATAATGATAGGTCTGAAGGTGCTTCACAGGAGCATTGTAAAACAAGCCTTGTGAGGAGATAGAAAAGCTTAAGTAAACAGCTTTGTGAGGAATGTCTTAAAGGAATTTAAAAAAGGTAGGAGCGGAGATGTCAAGGGAGAGGGTTCTAGTGCTTGGAGCCTCATCAGAGGACATGACTAGCAATGGTAGAACAATTACATTCAAGGATGCATGGCACCTTTGATTTAGAGGGGTGAAGATAGCGTGGAGGGTTGTGGTGCTGGAGGAGATTACTCCGAGGCAGGCACAGAAGACCACAGAGGGATCTGAAAACGAGGATGAGAATTTTAACATCAAGACTGGGAGCCAGCAGTGATAGGGGACCAGGACTTAGTACAAGTTAAGAAATAGGGGTTTCAGCTCTGAGGGGATTGTGATTATTCGAAAGAGCAGAATACATGTGGTTATGGAGAGAAGGCAAGGGAGTGGTACTAAGTGCAGACAGAATGGCCTCTTTTTGCACTGTAACAATTTCAATAATTCTGAACACTGACTAGAGATTGAAACCTGAACCTAGCTAACACATAACCTGAAGCACTGGAGGTTGTGGGGTGACCTTTATAGAAGTTTATAAAATCATGAAGGGCATTGATAGGGCGAATAGCCAAGGTCTTTCACGCAGGGCAGGGGAATCCAAAACCAGACGGCATAGGTTGGTTTTGCGGGGGTCGGGGGGAATGGAATGGAATGGAAAGATTTAAAAGAGACCTAAGAGGTAACGTTTTCACACAGAGGGTGGTGCGCGTATGGAATGACCTGCCAGAGGAAGTGGTGAAGACTCGTCCAATACAACATTTAAAAGGCATCTGGATGGGTGCATGAATAGGAAGGGTTTCTATTGGGTTAAATGCTGGCAAATGGAGTGAGAGTAATGTAGGATATCTGGTCCGCATGGATGAGTTGGGCCGAAGGGTCTATTTCCATGCTGTACAGCTCTATGACATTGTGTACTTAGAGACCAAAGAAGCTGGAGGAGCTTGCTGGTTAGCTTTATTATTACTTGTTCACATTGGATGCCACGATTTTTAAAGTTGCTGGTTAGGCCCGGCCTAGCTATTTTCCTCATCAACTTGCTCATGTTTATGAGGTATGGCTTCATGCTGAAATTCTGTTTCATTAGGTTCAAAGTCAAGACGGAAAAGAGAAACAGATCAAAGTAAGGGCAAAGAAGCGTCAAAAGGAAAAGTGCAGCCAGTTGAAGAGGTTGGTCTCTGCAATGTTATAATTGAATCAAATGCTTGGTTTCAAGTTCCACTTAATAGTTATTCTGATGAGCGAATGCATCTCAGGATTGGCATGGTTACCTTGAATCTAACCAAAGAATGCAGCAGACTCAAACTGGTGACCCTGACACCTACCAGTTTATGGAGATAGCTTTTCCGAACCACTGCTCATTGTGTCTGAGGATCTACTGCCCTATCCCATTGTAACGTACAAAATAGTTCTGAGGCTCCAGATTTTATTGTGACTGAGTAAGTCAAATCAGTGTTTTTGTGAGGTCCTTAGGAATACAGGTCCAGTTCAAGGTCGTCTGCAGATTATAAATGCATGCTGTTATTGGAAGGGGCTGCCTGGGAAAGGTGGCACTGATGAGATATTTCAAGTCACCATTTGAGGAAAGCCTGGCAGTAGGTTGTAGTTTCAGGTTGAGGGTGAGGATGGGGGAAGCAGAGCTGTTTGATGTGCTAGGGCAGTGCAAGAGAAAAAGAGGGAGAAGGCAGTCACAAAGAGCAACACAGTAGAATCATTAGCCTCATTTTACAGCCTCCAGGCTTTGGAAGTGTTTTGGGCTGGTACGTCTCCTAGTCTGGCAATGAGACTGGGAATTGTCTCAGTAAATGAGCAGCTCCAAGCTGAAGGAAGTGAGTGGCTCAAATCCATTTGCATGGGTGTAGCTGTTAAGAAGTCATAGAGTTGTAGAAATGCATGGCATTGGAGGAGGTCTTTTGACCCACAAAGTGACAGTAACCAGACTTGAGTTGAGTATGTATGCATTCGTAGGGTTTGTGGAGGTACTCCCTTGCTCTCCCCTTTACTCTCTCATTGTCTCTCAGGATGTTGAAGAGAGCTGGAGCCAGAGCAGAACAAAAAAATCATTGAAGGGAGCAGCAGTGGAGCCTGAACTGTACGGCATTGTTAGCATTATAGTAGGAAGTACAGATTAAAATTGTCAGTGCAGTTTTTTTCATTAACGCCAGGTTGAGCTTATTGGTAGGTGTAATGCATCGCTCTTTTTTCATTAATGATGAGCACTGGGGGATCATGAGCTGTAGGAACAAACTTTATTTATATAGCACCTTTCATAACTTTAGGATTTTTTCAGAAAACCCTAATAGCCAAATGCAATCGCTTCATAATATAGGGAAGATCCCAATAACAACACTATGGTAAAAAAACAGATCATCAGCTTTCTTGTTGATGCATATTGAATGTGAGTCTCTAAAGCCGGTGAAGTGGGTTACCTTTCTGTTCTAAAGTCTTGGGTATTTTCGAGTTGGGTGTGTTGCGGTTGTATAGGGTGCAGGCACCCATTTGCTCCCTGATGATTTGCTTCAGTAATAAAGTTAGAATCGGGGGTTCTTTCAGTAGTTTATATGTTCAGCTAAGTGTTTTGCAGCATCTGGTATTAAACTCTTTCCTCTGCAGAAGAAAGCTGAAAAGGACGAGGAAGTTTTTGAACTGCACCACGAGAATGAAAGCTACGCCTTCAATGTAAGAGTTTTTTCTTCGCAAAGCCCAATTGCTTCCTGTGATATGTATCGATCTTGGTACCATTGATTTATCCATCTGTAATCCTTCCATGCAGTTCTTCATAAAGATTCCAAGCCCAGCAGAGGAAGGGCTTTATACTCTCAGCTTCCACAACTGTTATAAGATCCCTTCAGAGAAAAAAAAAGCTGTTGCATTTGACATGACAGTAAGTATGTTTGCTGAAGGACGCGGGGGAAGATGGGAGAGCGATTTCTCCTCAAAATTGATTTAAGTTTGTTGTAGCTTTCCAACAAACCAAGGAAGGTAGATAGAATTAAAATACAGATCAGCTCTGATTGGGTTGAATGGAGGAGTAGGCTCATGGGGTTGAATGGCCGCCACCTGTTCCTGTGATCCCACCATTGCTTCCTGTGTTCCATGAGATGACTTTTGGCTCAATACCTAGCAGTTTATGCAAATTGGAATGTGCATTTTGATTAAAACAACCTACTCCAATGCCTTCTCACCATGACAGCTGCCAACTTTAGGTAATCTCACTTTTTCAAAGTTTCGCTCTTGGTTGTTGGTGTAAACTGTCAAGGTTGCATGGATAAGTGGGTGGTGGCCCTGAGCCTGAACCTTTGAGCTGAAGTCCCAGTCTAGTCTCAACGGCCGAGGATGATCTGCTTATAACGTGGCCTAACATGTTGAATATCAACCTGCAAATTCTTCCAACACGCCAAGAGCAGGTGGTAAGACCAGAGAGATTCCTGGTTACCCACATGACTTGGGGTGGGGGGAGGGTGGGATTTAAAAAACACATTATGGAGCTACGATCCGTAGCCCCAGGCTACATAATACATGTCCAATATGTAACTGTGATTCCCTGGGTGATCTGTAATGAAACTACACTCTAACTGTGAATGACCTGAATAATTTTTTTCAAAATAACTTGCTTATTGTAATTATTTCACATTTGTCTTTTTGTTTGGGTGCATCATTACAATTCCTGATGTTTTATAACAATGGGTGCATTTACTTAATGCCTGTAATGTATTAAAATGTGCCAAAATGCTTCACAGGACTATTGTCAAACAAAATTTAACAGAATCACGTACGAGGTATTGGGACTGTAAAGCTGGTGAGCTGAGATGAGATGAAGTACTGTTGTGAGGATAGTGTGTCAAAGTCCAGTTGGCATGTTAATCAAAGTAACTTCCTGAAAGGCTCATACCTGCTATATTTCTGTTTGGGCATATGCTGGGCAGTGCATAAATGGAGTCCAGCTGGTTATTATTGTTTACTCTTGTAATTGCTGTTTTCTTAATGTCTACACAGTCTGTACGTTAGCACTTTTGCATTTCAAACTTTCCTTCACAGATTGACATAACGGCAAAAAATCCGAGGACCTACCTTTCTGCTGGCGAGTTCCCACTACCTGTGCTGTACCTGGTGATGTCTGGGTTTTTCTTTGTGGCAGCCTTATTCTGGGTCTCCCTGCTTCTAAAGCACAGGTAACCCTCCTTCAGTGTCCACTCCTCAAACTTCTTTTTTTTATGGTGAAGTGTGTTGAGTGACTCAACAGGTTGTAGAGTGCCAGTGAGCCAATGTTTGGTAAAATGTTGTTTCAGAAGGCGTGATCCATTATACAGCAAATTATGTGGTCATAGGTTGGCTGTTCAACAACTGTTCTGTGTTGACGAGGGTGAGCAGGGTAATCTGCCTTATGGCAACAGAAACCATTTTAGTTTTATTCATTTCAAAGATTTGACCTTAAAGTTGCTCAGGCTGAAAACAAACAAAAATGCAGGGCTAGGGAAATTTGAGTCCTATCAAACACTTGTATATTTTAGAATAATTATTTCAAGTGTTTTGATGAGCACATTGTAGTTTCTTTCTGTCTTTACCCTGTTACATTTAAAATATTTTCCGTTTATCTTGCTGTCGCTGCACAGACTGAAACTGAAAGGAAGGGGTGGCGTGAACAGTTAGGCATGGAGCTGTAACGTGTGATCTGCTGTTAGAATCATCGAATCCCTGCAGTGGCGAAGCAGGCCATTTGGCCCATCGAATCTACACCGACCGTCCACAAAGCATCCCACCCAGATTCACCCCCCACTACCCTATCCCTGTAACCCTGCATTTCCCGTGGCTAATCCACCTGGCCTGCATATCCCTGCTTATTACAGGGCAATTTAGCATCTAACCTGCACATGTTTGGACTGAAGTACCCAGTGGAAACTCATGCAGACATGGGGAGAATGTGCAAACTCCACACAGACAGTCACCCAAGGGTAAAATCAAACCCAGGTCCCTGGCGCTGTGAGGCAGCAGTGCTAACCAGTGAACCACCATGCCGCCCCCAGATTTACCTGATTGCAGAAAGACGCCACTTAGCCCATCGAATCGTACTAACCCAATGACGTGTATCCCTTCCAGACCCGCTCTATTCCCATAACCCTGCATTTAGCATAGCTAATCCACCTAGCTTGCACGACCCTGTTTATTGCGGGGCAATTTAGCATGGGCAAAATACCTAATCCACACATCTTTGGACTGTGCGAGGAAACTGAAGCACCCACTGGAAACCCATGCAGACATGGGGAGAATGTACAAAACTCCACGTAGTCATCCAAGGCTAGAATCAAACTTGGGTCCCTGGTGCTGTGAAGCAGCAGTGCTAACCGTTGAGCCACCATGCCGCCCCATTGAGGAAAGTTCACTCATCAAAGTTAATACTTGGTGTTTCAGTGTAATGGGATGCTGACTAATTAGGATGGGAATGGATTTTATGTATCACTCTAAATAAGAAAAAGAAAGCAGAAACTGCATACATGCATCAAAAATAAATTTTTCTGAGGACTGTAGCAGACACTAACTGCTCAAGAGGCTGGTGTAAGGAAATGAGGGCAATATTTCTGATCTGCTAGACAATGGGTTTGTGTTTCTTTGTGCCAACTTTACCTAATCTCAATGTCTGTGTTTGTTTCACTTGTTGCTATCAGTGCCTGCTATACCCTAATCATAGCTGTTTCTCCCAGGAGCAGTGTATTTAAAATCCACTGGTTGATGGCTGCATTGGCGTTCACCAAATCCATCTCCATACTGTTCCATGCAGTAAGTATAATTCTATTGATGCAGCTAAATATTGGTGGCGAATCTTTAAAGTCAACAGCTTGTCTTCGGTTTCCACTCAAAGTACACTGAATCGGCTCTACCGTTGGATTAAGTTTAAATGCAGTGGCCCAAAAGTGAAGCTGAGCCAGGCAAGCACTTGCAGCCTGGAATTGTTATTTCTAATCAGCCTGCTGAGACACCATCTCCAGGGTGTGAGGGACTTGAACCTGGATATCTTGTCCAGAGGTAGGGACACTACCACACGTGATATTTGTTGTGTTTAACCACCACAGCTTAACATTTATATTTCAGATTTATTAATTGAATTTAAATTCCACCCCCATCTCCCCAGATGATTAGCTTGGCCACTGAATTACAAATCCAATGAGATTACCCACTGTGCCACTGTCTCCCCAACATTGGAAAGGACCTTGCAATATTAGAATCCCTACAGTGTGGAAGCAGGCCATTCTGCCCATCGAGCCCGCACTAACCCTCCGAACATCTTTGCACTGTGGGAGGAAACTGGAACACCCAGAGGAAACCCATGCAGACACGGGGAGAATGTGCAAATTCCACACAGACACAAGGTGAAATTGAACCCAGATCCTTGGTGCTGTGAGGCAGTAGTGCTAACCACTGAGTCACTATGCCGCCCAATTGTGCAACCATCAAACAGTTTTTTAATGCATATTTTTTAAAGCTATGTATGATATACACTTGTGTTCCTAGAGATATAGAGCAAAATATTGTGTTTTCTATATATTGATGGAATCTAAGGTATTTATCACATGACTTGTTTATGACTCCTTGCAAAGTTACCACTGTGAATACAAGTTTCTGTGCCTTCCTGTGCTTATGTACTGCGAACCCAGTGGTAAAAAATGATGTAAAGCTTCAAATTGATGACCTTTTATCAGAACTGTTTGGATGAAAGGGCACCAACCTGAAACAACATCATGGCTTTTCTCCCCACAGAAGCTGCCTGACCTGCTGAGTATATTCAGCATTTCCTGTTTTTTTTATTTCAGATTTCCACCATCTGCAGTATTTTATTTTTATGTTTCCATTTGCTTACCACTTTTTACACTTCTAACAAATGCATAGGTAAGGGATGAGCAGAGATCTATGTGTTGCAGGGCTGTTCTTCAAAGCATCCTATTGCTCCCAGTCCCGCACTTTCTAAAAAAAAAAACTGGATAAAATAAGAGCAGAACAAAAATATTATTATTTTCAAAAATGGTGAACCTGACTACTGCTGTTTCATGGGAAGCATCCAGCCTTTTAAAAAATTCTTTCATGGAATGTGGATGTCATTGGAAAAGCCAGTATTTATTGTCATTCCGAATTACCCTTGAACTGAGTAATGTGCCTGGCTATTTTAGAGGGCAGTAGGCCAGACCAGGCAACAATGGCAAATTTCCTTCCTAAAGGCTATTAGTGAACTAGATCTTTTTATTTTGACCATCGACAATAATTTCATGGCTATTGTTACTGAAACTGGCTTCTTAAGTTCTGGATTTATCCATGTAATTTAACTTCTCGCTGATTTGGTGGGATTTGAACCATGTCCCCAGATCAATAAAATGAAGAGCTGTAGATGCTGGAAATCTGAAACAACGACAGAAATTGGAGAAATGCAACAAGTCTGGCAGCACCTGTGGAGAGAGAAAGCCAAGTTAACGTTTCGGGCCCAGTGACCCTTCAGTGACAACCTCTGCTTTTTCTCCAAAGATGGTCATTGAGTATAGGCGTCGGGAGGTCGTGTTGCGGCTGTACAGGACATTGGTTAAGCCACTTTTGGAATACTGCATTCAATTCCGGTCTCCTTGCTGGCGGAAGGATGTTGTGAAACTTGAAAGAGCGCAGAAAAGATTTGCAAGGAAGTTGCTGGGCTTGGCGGGTTTGAGCTATAAGGAGAGGCTGTTTTCCCCGGAGCGTCGGAGGCTGAGGGTGACCTTATTGAGGCTCATAAAATCATGAGGGGCATGGATAGAGTGAATAGCCAAGATCATTTTCCCAGAGTAGGGGAGTCCAAAACTAGAGGGGCATAGGTTTAAGGTGAGAGGAGAAAGATTTAAAAGGGACCTAAGGGGCAACTTTTTCATGCAGAGGGTGGTGCGTGTATGGAAGGAGCTGCCAGAGGAAGTGGTGGAGGCTGGTACAATTACAACATTTAAAAGGCATTTGGATGGGTACGTGAATAGGAAGGGGTTAGAGGGATATGGGCCAAATGCTGACAAATGGGACTCGATTAATTTAGGATATCTGGTCAGCAGGAATGAGTTGGACTGAAGGATCTGTTTCTGTGCTGTATAATTCTGTCTCTAGATGCTGCCAGGTTTGCTGAGTTGCTCCAGCAAATTCTGTGTTTGTCTCCAGAGCAATATCATGGCCCTCTGAGTTTCTAGTCCAGTGATATTACCATTATGCCACGTTGTACGCTGGCTGTAATTGTTTGATGTTTACCTGTCTTATCTCCAGTTCTGTTTCCAATCTTTATTCATTTACTCTTTTCCAGATCAACTACTATTTCATTGCTGTTAAAGGATCAGCGATCGAAGGTTGGGCTGTGATGTACTACATTACTCATCTGTAAGTATTTATTTGGATGTTTGAAGGAGAGGGTGTGGTTCAACTTGTTGGAAGAGCTCTGGGCTTCCATTCAGAGAGCCTTGGCTGACTATTGAACACATTAACTCCCTTTGCTTTCTGTTCCTACTGTTGTTTTGGTGTTAGTTGTGCCTCTTTGAGCAGCATTCTCATTTACAAGTCAAAGTCATAAGTGCAGGTCCTGAGGGAGAGCCACACTGTTGGAGGTACTGTCTTTTGGCTGAGATACTAAACCAAAGCTCTGTCCACACTCTCCGCAGGGCACTGTTTGGTGAAGGGCAGAAGACTTGCTACCTGTGTGTTGACCACTCAACCTGCATGACCGAAACGTATTATCTGGTCATTGCTGTTTGTGGTAGCTCACTTTGTAGTGTGCAGAAATTTTACAGTGTTCCCTAACATTGCAACAGGGTAGAGAGTGGCTTGAGAGGTCCCAAGATTGTGAAAGACATAATGTGTCAATGGAAATCTTTTCTTGAATCAAGTTTAAAAGCCATATGCAAAATACTTTTAAAAAGGATGCTTCTTTTAAAGTGATGGTAACAATTTGAACTTCATATCCCACCTTGTTCTGCAGATTGAAAGGTGCCCTGCTGTTTATTACTTTGGCTTTGATCGGCACAGGATGGGCTTTTATAAAATATATCCTGTCAGATAAAGACAAAAAGATCTTTATGATCGTGATTCCTCTTCAGGTAAAAAAGAATTAAATTACTCTGGACTGAAATTCCTCTGTTAAATGTGTATAGTTTTGAGAACTGCAAGGAGTTTTGCAGTGCTAAGTAGATGATTTTAAAATTGATTGATGCTCGCAAATATTTTGCTTCAACTTTTATAAGTCACGAAGAAAATCGCTTCCTGTTCCTTTGTGACTTTTGTGTTCCAACACTGTTCTCCCTCTTATTTCCATACTCCTGATTCCACAGTCACTGGGCTATCTTGTAGGTTGTCAATTTGGCCTTTTTTTTAAAATAAGTTCTTACAAAGTATCAGTGGGGCATTTTTTCATGGGGAGGAGGGTGAGGCCATCCATGATGGAGCCAATCTTGTCCAGTCCCCTTTTCCCAGTCGGGCTCGTGGGGTAGACAGCAGCTGTTACAATTTGAGGTGCCTTATTTGTCCCCAATGCTCAGTGTTTCTGCCTCCCATCACCCAGCCTGCCAAGAAATCAGAAAAAAATTCCCCAGCATCTTAAATTGTTGCTCTTCCTGAGTCCAGCAATTCATTACATGGAATTGAGCTGAGGCATTGCTGCTCTGTAACACTGTATCATTGCATCAAGCTGCACTTCACCTTTTTAATGTCAACTATTAAAATCGATAATGGTTTGAACAAATACCCAAGTTACACATCACCACTAAAACCATTTCGGGAGAACAATCCACTGGTGTCCAGGACTAAAAATGATGTTACAAAACTCCTTGATTCCTCTCTTGTTACAAGAATAGTTGTAAAAACATTTAATCGATTTAATATGTTTATGTAAAACACGAAGACCCACGGCAGAAGCCTGGTACTTTGGAAATCAAGGAGCAGCCGGTAGTGATAAAAATATAATTATTTGGACAGTTGAGTTCTTTGATGAGATGATATAGGCAGTGGATGAGGGTGGTGCTATGGATGTTGTACATTTGGACTTTCAGGAAGGATTTGAGACGGTGCCACATGGAAGGTTGGTTAGCGAATTAGAAATGTTTGGGATTTCCAATAGATTGGAAGTTGGCTAAAAGATAGAAAACAGAGGATACGTATAGATGGGAATCTCTCAAACTGGAGACGAGTTGAAAGTGGTGTTCCCCAGGATCGGTGTTTGGACCTTTGCCTTTTATCATTTATATAAATGATTTGGAGATGGGAGTTGAGGGCAAAATTGCGCATGATACTAAGCTAGGGAGAGCAGCGAATTGTGAGGATGATGCTGCGCAAATTCAGAGGGGCATTGACAAGTCGGCCAAATAAGCAGGTGCCTAGCAAATAAAATTCATTGCCGAGAAATGTGAGGTAAGGCATTTTGACAGAAGAAACATGGAGAGACAACACAGGCTCAATGGTACAACTTTGAAGGGAATACAGGAGCAGAGGGACCTTGGAGTTCACATACATGATTCTCTAAAGATGGCCAGGCAAGTTGAAACAGTTGTTAAGAACACTTGTAGGATCCTTGCATTAGTAAATAGAGGCATAGAATATAAAAGCAAAGAAGTGATGCTACACCTTTACAGATGATTAGCCAGGCCATATTTGGAATATTTTGTTCAGTTCTGAGCACCTTATTTAAGGGGAGGGTGTTAAAGCCCTGGAGAGAGTTCAAAGGAGATTTACTAGAATGATACCAGGAATGAGGGATTTTGGATACAAGGCAAGATTAGAGAAATTGGACTTGTTCTCCTTGGAGCAGAGAAGATTAAGAGGTTACCTTATTGAGATGTTCACGATGATGAACAATTTTGACAGGGTAGAGAAGGATATTCTCTTTCCACTAGTTGGTATGTCAGTAACTAGGGGTCACAGTTTCAAGATTGTCAGCAAGAGAGCTAGAAGTGAGATGAAGAGAAACTTCTTTACTTGGAGAGTTGTTAGGATTTGGAATACACTGCCTGAGAGAGAATTGAAGGCGGATTCCATAAGAGGTCTCAAAAGAGAATTGGATATATATTTGAAAGGGCTGAAGTTAGATGGCTACAGAGATAGTGCTGGAGTGTGGGACTAGCTGGGTAGCTGTTTTGGGAGCTGGTACAGACAGGATGGGTTGAATGGCCTCCTTCTGAACTGTAAAATTGTATCATTCTAAGGCTATGCAGTAGATAACTGTGCTAATGGCAAGCTAGTCTGTTGACTGCACAACAACAATAATATTGTATGTTGTGGTGCTCATCAGTTGGATGGTTTGCATTTTGGAGGCAGTGGGGCATGGGAATACAAGGGACATTACCAATTTGTGGACAGTTCTTCATAATCAGATAATCCCCGTGTCTTGTATAGTTCAAATCTAAGGTTGGACTCATAACAAACATGGCCAATATTTGTAGTGGATTGTTAGATTGTTGAAAATATCTTCCAGATTTTAGAGGAACATATTAAAATAGACAGGCGGGATGGGGCTGTTCTGCTTTCAGAATGGTTCACAATTTTCTTCAAATGACATGTTTCAGAAAGTCTACTTTTTTTGAGGCCTCTTCTGGAGTACTGTGTCCAGTCTGGTCGCTCTGTCACAGGAAGGATGTTATTAAGCTGGAGAGGATTCAGCAAAGATGTACCAGGATGTTACTGGGAATGGAGTGTTAGAGTTATAAGGAGGGGCTGGATAGACTGGGACTTTTATCCCTGGAGCGTCAGAGGTTGAGGCATGACCTTACAGAGGTTTATAAAATAACGAGGGATCTAGATAAGGTGAATGGCAGGTGTCTTTTCCCTAGGCTGGGGGATTTCAAGACTAGGGGACATATTTTTAAGGTGAGAGGAGAAAGATTTAAAAAAGACATGAGGGGCAAAATTTTTACACAGAGAGTGGTTCATATGTTGAATGAACTTTCAGAGGAATTGGTGGATGTGGGCGCAGTTACAACGTTTAAGAGACATTTTAGATAAGTACATGAATAGGAAATATTTAGGGAGGATATGGACCAATTGCAGGCAGATGGGACCAGTTTTGTTTGGAATTGTGGTCGGCATGGACTGGTTGGACTGAAGGGTCTGTTTCCATGTTGTATGACTCTGACTACCAGCCCTGATGATCTCCAGGGAATGGTATTGAACCCAGTGTTGCCTAACTGTTCAGGTGGCCTTTGAGAATCCTATGAAATGACTGAGCCAAAGAAATTGGATGTATTTTGGTGTCTGAGAGGTGCCCTCTGGTTCAGAATGACTGTCCAGATTGCCTCCATAATAACCATATGTGACAGAAGTATGTCGTCCAAATCAAACATTTTCACTTTGCTTTCCATACTGCCTTGACAACGTCAGACCTGAATTGAGAGGTAAAATGTAAAAGTGGATTGAAAACATTTGATTAACAAAAAAGAAGCAAACAAGAACAGAATTTGCTGGAGAAACTTGGCACACCTGGCAAGACACTGAAGAAGGGTCACTGGACTCAAACGTTCGTGTACGAAATGATCACAGGTATAGATAGAGTAGACAGCCAGAGACTTTTTCCTAGGGTGGAGGTAGCTTTTACGAGGGGACATAGTTTTAAAGTGAAAGGACGTAGATATCAGGGAGACGTCAGAGGTAGGTTCTTTACTCGGAGAGTGGTAGGGGCGTGGAATGCATCGTGGGCCGAAGGGCCTGTACTGTGCTGTACTGTTCTTTGTTCTATAACTCAACTTGTGTCAGTGGATGCTGTCTGACCTGCTGAGTTTCTGTTTTTGTTGTAGATCACCAGGATCCACAGTTCTTTGTTTAAATTTAGTGGTTAAAAATTAGGTAAGGCCTGCAGTAAATGGTATTTTACTTGGGCAATGTAAACCAGCAATTTCAAGTTTGTTGTTAGAATTCTGGCTTTGCAGACTACATTATCTTCAGCAGAGCACCGTATTTGCAGATGATGGCAAAAGAAGTTGGGCAATTGAAAAATTGCAATCATCTGGGAAGGATTTAATTCCTTTGTAACTGGGCCAGCAGGTGGCAGGTGTAGTTCAATTCAGCAATGCTTTAGACTGTGTTTTCACAGTGATAGTACCCGGTAGGAAGTGACGAGAGGCACCTGACTGGACCCCATTCAGATGAAGTGCAGTGCAACTATTAATTCTTAATCTTTGTTAAATAAAAATACTGTGGGAGGACGGCAATGGAAAAGTTAAGTTCCCTTTTCTGTTGTCTTTTAAGGTGTTAGCAAATACAGCCTTTATCATCATTGAATCGACAGAAGAGGGGACGAGCGAATATGCCTTGTGGAAGGAGATTCTGTTCCTGGTGGATCTTATTTGCTGTGGAGCGATCCTGTTTCCTGTTGTTTGGTAAATATTCTTTGCAAATCTATGAAATACATATACGAAAGACGTCCTCTCCCTTGCATTTCTATTTTCAAGTCATGTAATCGTTTGCTCTTTGCGTGTCGGAATGTTTCCTAATTTCAATTCTGAAAGGTCTGCCTGAACTTCATAGGTTACGACTTTTCCTGCTAGACTCGCCAACCAGCAAAAGTAATTTCTCTCGGTCTTTCCAAACAGACCTTTTAATATTGAAAAAACTCCACAGCGGTTGGTATCCTGCTACCAAGCCGCCCTTTATTTACAGTCCTTGACACTGATCCATCTCCCTAAGAGGCAGCTCTCAAAAACAGGACTGTCAGGCATCTTGTTCACTGTCAGCCCGGGCTCCTTGATTGGACCAGGTTAACAGCTCCTATTCTATAAGATCCACCTGCTGACCTTGTTTCAATCACTGCAAATATCTTAAAGTTTGACCAAATAACTCCTTAGCATTCTCTTTTATAGCCACTGGACACATCTGCCAATTAAAATGCCCATTAATATTTGTAAAGAAACTTCAGGAAATGTTATCACTCCGATTGGGTGACATCCTGGTCTGGGTGAAACATTACAACATCATTTATGCAGTGAGTAGAATTGAAGTTGACTTAGATTTTCCCATCATGCAATCAGTCCACCTGTGGACTCAGAGCCTAGAGTTTATAGCTTTGAGCTTAACCAAAATTAGGTGGAATTAAATATCGACAAAGGTTTGTCTTTGAAGAGACCGGGGTGTGATTTCCCAGACGTCCTCATGATTATGAAAGAAATTTGCTTGTGGTAGATGTTGTAGAAGCTGTATTCACTTGTGGGGAGAGTCCAAAACTAGCAGCTGCAAGATAAATCCAGAAAGGAGGTCAGGGAGACTTCTTTACGGTGAGAGTGGTGAGAATATGACAAAGTGAAGTGTGAATAGAAACGAAGGGGGCAACTCTTAAATACGGATTCAGTTGGAGTCAACAACATTCTGCTGACAAGGAGCAGGCAGAGACTCTGGTGGAAGCGTGAACAGTGACATGGATGTCTTGTGCTGGTTGCTCTGATTCTCAGCTGTTTCTTCTGTGGTATGAGAAGAGCAGTGACGGTTGAATGTTATATTGTCCCCTTGCTCCACTTGGTGGTAGGACATGGATAATTCATCACTGTAGCTCTCTGATACATTTTCATAGGTTTCTTCAGAAACTTCATTTCATTATTTTCTCTACGCCTGCTCTCAAAGCAGATTGAGACCGTGCATCCGTGAAGTGTACAAGGGATAATCAGTTCTGTAATGGTATGGCTCCCCTGTGTGGAGTTACCCAGAGAACATTCTGATGGGCCCATAAATTGAGTTTCATGGATCTGATGCATGTGTCTTGTGCACACAAGGCACTGTGATTCCCTTCTTCAGTTCTGAAGAACAATCACTGGACCTGAAACGCTGACTCTGCTTTCTGTCTCCACAGATGCTGCCAGACCTACTGAGTTTCTCCACCAATTTCTGCTTTTGTTTCAGATCTCGAGCATCCACAGTTCTTTAGTTTTTGACTGTAATTCAAGTTACTGACTTTTAGTAATGAAAGCAGGGAACATCGTTGGTTCAACTTGATTTTGATCTTCTGTGTTTTTCAGGTCAATTAGGCACTTGCAGGAGGCCTCAAGCACGGATGGTAAAGGTGAGTTTGATTAGCCTGACAGTGAAGTGGAGGGCAGTAGCTGGTTATTATTGATTAGTTCTGTTCTTTATTAAAGCTATATCGGAAAATAACCCAATGAACTGTGAGATACAGTTTGTGTTTTTTTTAATTCATTATCGGGATGAGGGCGTCACTGGCTAGGCAGCACTTATACGATTTGTCTGCAGAGCACGTAAGGCAACGCTTTTCACTGTACCTCGATACACATGATAGTAATAATCAATCCAAATCACTTAATTAGAGTGTGAACATGTTGATCATGGGGTGGTTTGTGATGCCCAATGCTGGAATATTGGACCAGTACCCATTGTACAGATGTCCTCACCACTGATGGCAAAGGGACTGCAGTCTGAGTCATTGTCCCTGGGAAAAACCAGTTAAAGGGAGAGACCAGGAATTTTGCTGCACAACTGAGAGAATGATGAAACTGGTAATTCATCACTAATTCTACTCTTTCTCCTGATCTTTATCTGCAGCTGCAATGAATCTGGCCAAATTGAAACTCTTCAGGCATTTTTATGTCATGGTGGGTACTTGTGCACTGTCATTATGTGAGATGTATATGTTTGTTTACCACATGGGCTTCGGTTTGATTTCCCCTGGATCCTGCTTGGCACAGTGAGAACTTCTTAAACATTCCCGTGCATGGGATTAATGCTCTAACCTCTGATGGGCAGACTTGGGTCAGAAGTCAATGCAACCTTTTGGAAAGCAGATTTCGGGGTGCCATGAGCATTTTGGTTCCATTTGAGATTACTGCTACAGATGGTGAGGCTAACCACATCGTCGATGGAGAGTGATCTAGCCTTATCAATGAGGGTTGTTGGTTAGACTTTTGTGGATGCCCTTGCTAGTGAAATGACAGAGTAAGCACCAAGAGTCTGTTTCCCTTCACTAGGGAGCCTGAAACTAGGGGGATTGTAGTTTCAGGATAAGGAGTTTGCCATTTTAAGACAGTTGAAAAATTTCTCCATTCTTTGAATGTTTGAAATCTGTACTTTAGTGGGCTATTCAAGTCAGAGCTTGATAGATTCCTAGATTTTAAAGCTGTCAAGGGCAGGGTGATAAGGTGGAAGATCAGCCATGATCCAGTTCAGTGGTGGAGTAGGCTCAATGGGTGGAATGCCTATGCCTCCTATTTGCCCTGATCCCATGGAGGCTTAGTTACTTAATATATTAGAGAGTGAAATTGATAGATTTTAGACTGAGGAAATGTAGAGCTATGGGACTGGCAGAAAAGTGAAGATCAGCCATAATTTTGTTCAGTGTTGGAGCAGAGCCCATGTGTTCAACACCTTTTCCTGTTGCTATGTTATCATGTTATGCTTTGAGGTACATAAAGGTAAATGGAATGCAACATTGGAGGGCAGAGGCCCACTATATTTATTACAGACTCCAGGTTTTAAAAAAATCATAGACACTCTTCAGTCCATTGAGTCTGCACCGACAAAACTGCTCTAAATCTACACCAATCCCACTTTCCTGCTCTTGGCCCATAGCCTTGAATGTTATGACATTTTAAGTGATCATCTAAGTACTTTTTAAATGTTGTGATGTTTCCCTTCTGAAAAACCACTCCTGGGCAGTGTGTTCCAGATCCCCACCACCCTCTGGGTGAAAATAACTTTCCTCAATTCTCCTCAAAACTTCCTGCCTTTCCCCTTTAAAATTATACCTCCTCATTGGTGACCCTTCAATTAGGGCAAAACAGCTGCTCCTTATCCACCCTGTACGTGTTTCTCCTAATCTTATGCACCTCAGTCAGGTCCCCCCTCAGCCTTCTCTGCTGTAAAGAAAGTAACCTGGGCTGATCCAGTTCTCTTCATTGCTAAAATGCTCCACCCCAACCAACATCCTGGTGAATTTCCCCTACACACACTCCAGTGCAATTCTATAGTGTTGTGACCAGAACTGCACTCAGTGCTCCAGCTGTGGCCTAACTGTAGTCTGTACAACTCCAAAAGTAACCTCCCTACACTTGTAATCTGTGCCATTGTCGATAAAGGGAAGTGTCCCATAAGCCTTTATAACTACCCTAATAATCTGTCCTGCCACCTTCAGGGATGTGTGGACAAGTACCCCAAGATCCCTTTGTTCCTCTGAATTTCCTAATATCCTGCCATTCGTTGAGTACTTCCTTGTCTTGTTACTTTGTCTAGAGTGTATCATCCCACACTTTTCAGAGTTAAATTCCACCTGCCTCTGATCTGCCTATCTGACCAATCCATTTAAATCCTCCTGTACCTTCTAGATCCACTGTCAAACAACTGGACAAGCTTCATGCCATCCACAAAATTATTCATTCCCCCCAAACGTGGATCCCAAGTATTTTTACCTTCTTTATCAGGCTTCCATGTGGGACCTTGTCAAAGGCTTTGCTGGAGTCTGTAAAATTCTTAAGAGGGCTTGGCAAGGCAGACACCAAGGGTCTGTTTCCCCTCATTGAGGAGCCTAAAACTAGAGGGGTTGCAGTTTCAGGAAAGGGAGTTGACTATTTTAGGACTGAGATGAAAATGTTTCTAGTAATTGCTAATTTGTCTTTTCACAGATTGTTTGTTATATATATTTCACCAGAATCATCGCTATTCTTCTTAAGTTCACTGTTCCGTTTCAGTGGCAGTGGATGTACAATGTAAGTAAGTTTGTGATAAGCGAAATGTAGGATAAGGAAGTGTAACAGCACAATAATGGAATGTGCTAGTTTAGTCTGACAGATGCAGGAAGATTGTCAAGGGGCAGTCAATCTCCTCAAGCTACTGGAGATTGGAACTTTGGCTCTAGTCGTTCCAAATTTTGCCAACTGTGGAAAAGCAAGTAGTGCCAAATGTATGTTTTCACTATAAAGCTGGAATATAAATTGTGCTTGTATTTCATTCTAAAATAATGATGTAAATGGGAATTACTGCAAGGTTTAGACTTTTTAATGTTTCAACTTGTAATTTTTTTTATACTTCTGTTTATTGAATTATGTACATGGAACTTTGGTCATTAATTGGGGCTTGCTTTTTATTAAGGTAATCAACAAGAATGTCTCTCAGTACAAAGGAAATATACTTTGGGAGTGCAACTCAATAGTGCCTTTTATCTTGGAAAAATATCCCTAATGGAATATATAATGATGTTGAGGAAGAGCAGAGGTTAGAAAGTTTGAGAAGAATTGGGTGTCCAAAAGGTGGAGAAGGGAAGCAGAGGTTCAGCGAGGGAATACCAAATCTGGGATCTAATGAGCTGAAGGGTGGCTGCCAGGATGACTAAAAAAGGAATGTATAAAAGGCTAAAGTCAGAGGAATGGTCTATGGTGTCATAGGGTGGCACAGTAGCTCAGTGGTTAGCACTGCTGCCTCACAGCACCAGGGACCCGGGTTCGATTCTACCCTTGGATGACTGTCTGTGTGAAGATTGCACATTCTCCCCCGTGTCTGTGTGGGTTTCCTCCAGGTCCTCCGGTTTCCTCCCACAGTCCAAAGTGCAGGCTAGTTGGATTGGCCATGCTAAATTGCCCGTAGTGTTCAGAGATGTGTAGATTAGATGGGTTATAGGGCTGGGTCTGGGTGGGATGCTCTGAGGGTGGTGTGGACTGCTTGGACTGCTTGGGCTGAAGGGTCTGTTTCCACACTGTGTAGGGATTCTATGATTCTATGAGCGAGCTAGAAGAGTTTGTTAGAAACAGCAGGAGAAAGCTGAGCAAGATTTGAAGAGGAGTTCAGGGTTGACCTTGTATATTAAATATCTTAAATAAGTTAAACCCAGAATATTACTTTAAAATCTGGGGGACTATAGCACTAAAAATTAAGCACATACATGTTTGAGAAATACATTTAAATCAGGTATTAGGAGCAACCTCTTGCTGTGCAAGGGATAAACATTTTAGTAAAATCTGTCAGATAGCACAGCTACTTGAGAGTGTTGGGAAGTTGAAAAGACGAGCCTTTGTGGAGCAAGTGTTCTTTCGTATTCGGGTTTTATGTTGTGAAAACATTATTGATTTATTTGTTGAAAAACCTCGACAACTGGTTTGATTGCTACATGCCCTACACTAAAAGCGAGGAATAGTTGGGCAAACTGGCGCAAGTCTTTCTTGAAATAGCACCATTTATCCAAAATGAAACTTGTTTAAGTTTCTCCTCTAATTAATTTCATGAATGTGAATAAATTTCTTTCTTGAACCACTGCAAATAGGCATCGTTATAGAAGCTAATTAGTTTTCTTCCTTACGTTAACATGATTCCGCGACACATTTGACTGAAAACCTGGTGCAGTTTTATTAGTACAGCTGGAAATGGTGAATCATAAGGCATTTTAATTGAACTGTTTAATCCTGATTTTATACACAGAAAACCATGCTGAGCACCGTCCATGTTTTTTGTTGTGCAGTAGCTATTTTCTTGGAAAACATTTAAATGTCTTAGAGTGTACGTGCCCATGTAACGTTTTGGGAAAAAAAAATCCCAGTTTAATTTTAAGATTCTTCTGAAACAGTGCAATCAGTGGACAATTGCTATGCTGTTATTTGGTTTAAGTCAGGGATGGTTTCTAGTTTTGCTGTTTATTAGGGATGGCAGAAACTCAATTCCCACCCTGTATCTTGAAAGTCTTCAATTTATTGTGCCAGACTGAGAGATTTCAGTCAAATTGTACTGGCTACACAAGTAAGAGCTCTGACCTCTGATTTGTTTGGCATTTTATGCCCTGTAATTTATTTTCTGATTTTGTTTTATTTTCAACTCGTTAGTTTCTAGTGGAGGCATCAACGTTGGTGTTCTTTGTGCTGACTGGGTACAAGTTTCGGCCAGCCTCCAACAACCCCTACTTACAGCTCCCTCAGGATGAGGAGGATGTCACAATGGATGAAGTGTAAGTAACTGGGCACATTCTCAGTAACAATTGATTAAACATTATTGGCTGCATTAATAACAACAGCTGGGCATTCCAGTGGACCCTTCCAGGAGGACAGAAGGGTTAACATTTCTTTTTAAACCAGTGCATATGACAAATTCTTTATTTATTCATTCTCCTATTGGATGTTGCTGTCAAAGTCAGCATTTATTACCCATCTCTAATTTCATTTGAAATGAGTGGCATGTTATGCCAGTTTAGAGTCGAGCACTTTGCTGTAGCTCTGGTCTCACATGTAGGTAAAAAATGGCAGAGTTCCTTCCCTGAGGATATTGGTGACCAAACACTTCCGATGGTAAGCATGTTCCCAACATTCAGTCAATGTTGCTAGGAATGTTTCCTACAAGCTATGTGGTAACTCCTTTCTTCTACTTACCACCTCGTCCTACTGAATATATGATGAGCAAGTAAAGGATAGCAGATTTCCTTCCCTGAAGGACATTAATGCACAAGATGTTTTTGCAACATTTGGTGATAGTTTCAGTCGGCATGAATGATACTTGGCGTTACATTCTAGATTTCATTCATTGAATTTAATTAAATTCTGTGTGCTACTACTGTGAGATTTGAACTTAGTGTTAGCCTGGACTACTTGATTGCTACCTCTGACATTATCACTATGTCAACATCTCCTCCACATAAAAGCTGACTGTCTTATCTACCAGTGTGATTCTTGCAACCAGTTTTGAACCATAAAACTCCGATGACCCATGATTAGTACTATTTCCTTTTCTCTGTACTTACAAGCACTTATCCCACATTTTAACATCCCTGTAGATAAATGGTTAATGCGAACTGAAATTTAAGAAAACAATAAGAATCTGGAATGCACATCCTGAAAGGGTGGTGGAAGCAGATTCCAATCTGAAAGATACTGCCGAATTGGATAAATGCTTAAAGGAGGAATATATTTGCGGGGTTAGGTAGAAAGAGCAGAGGTGGGCTGAAGCTGGATAATTTTTTCAAAGAAGTACTACAGGCCTGACTGAGTAGCCTACTTCTTGACAACGTGATTGTAGGCAGTCTCACTGATTCTCAAATATGTGTGCAGGATGTCATGTTATTGCAGCTGTAAGGATGTATGAGCCAGGCAAGGTGGCTCAGTGGTTAGCACTGTTGCCTCGCAGCACCAGGGACCCGGCTTCGATTCCAACCTCGGGTGACTGTCTGTGTGGAGTTTGCACATCCTCCCCGTGTCTGCGTGGGTTTTCTCCAGGTGCTCCAGTTTCCTCCCGCAGTCCGAAGTCCAAAGATGTGCAGGTTAGGTGGATTGGCCACACTAAATTTCCCGTAGTGTTCAGGGATGTGTAGATTAGGTGGGTTACAGGTGTATTGGTCTGGGTGGGATGCTCCAAGGGTCAGTGTGGACTTGTTGGGCCGAAGGGCCTGTTTCCACACTGTAGGGATTCTATATATTTTGTTTTTGTTTGAACTTTAGTCATGCCCTGTATAATCCACTATAAAGTTAATCTTGCTTTGCAACATGCTAAGATTACTTTTGTCTTGTGGTAGTACTGGATTGAGTTCTGCTAAAAAAATACACATTTTTGAAGCTTTTTGACTTGGACTAGTCAGGACATTTGCAAGAAATACCAACGTAAAGGGGAACAAAGTTTTTCATTCTTTTGAGAGTGTGCTGATAGGTTGGCAAATGGAATGTGATCAGTAAAGATATTGCCTTCGTACATCAGTAGATGATCACTGGCAGGTTAACTGCCAAACTGTTCAAATTTTAACCAGCCATGTTGACTCATGATTGGTCAAGTCATTGCTCTGAGGAAGAACGAGAGAATTATGGTCGCCCATTTTGTCCAATTGAAATTGGTGCAATGTGTGTACATGTTCTTTCTGTCTGCCAAGAACAGGCCTTTTATTAACATAAGTAACTTCCAATTCACATAAGTGTGTCACACTGCAGTCTGACTGACGCAATCATAAATTGGTTGTCTGTGTAATTGTTAATATAGAACGTAGAACATTACAGCACAGTACAGGCCCTTCGGCCCATGATGTTGTGCCGACCTATTATCCTACTCTAAGATCAAACTACCCTGCATACCCTCCATTTTACTATCATCCAAGTTCATGCTCATGGTTATTTAGCAAATGTAATCCAATTGCCAAATCCTATCCAATATTGGGTGCTGTGTTTAGAGTTTTATAAGCAGAGGCTGGTTGGAGATTGTAAGTACCTTGCCTGTCACAAGCAGTCAAAGGGATGTGCTGTTTAATATGAGCAGCCAGTCTTTGGGGTGTCCCCAGCTTGACGTGAGAAGTGAAATACATAGAGCATGTTACGCATTTGTGTGATAAGCAGAACATCTTTTTGGTGTGGTGGTAAACGCCACTTAGAGTCCTAGAGATGTACAGCACGGAGACAGACCCTTCGATCCAGCTCATCCATGCCGACCGGATATCCTAAATTAATCTAGTCCCATTTGCCAACATTAGGCCCATATCCCTCTAAACGCATCCTATTCATATACCCATCCAGATGCCTTTTAAATGTTGTAATTGTACCAGCCTCCACCCCTTCCTCTGGCAGCTCATTCCATATACACAGCACCCGCTGCATGAAAAGTTGCCCCTTAGATCCCTTTTAAATCCTTCCCCTCTCACCTTTAAACCTATGCCCTCTAGTTTTGGATTCCCCTACCCTGGCGAAAATACTTTGACTATTCACCCTATCCATGCTTCTCATGATTTTATAAACTTCTGTGACGTCACCCCTCAGCCTCCGACGTGCCAGGGAAAATAGGCCCAGCCTATCTCCCCATACAGGTAGTTCTCTCGGAATGCGATAGTTGCGTTCTTATGCGACCTCGCGCTATAGAAAATCGCTTTATAAGGAAATCGCTATAGAAAATCACTATACTGGTACAGCAGAAAATTTGTATTATCCAAGCAGTGTCCATTATTCATCAATCTCGTTACAGCTGATTTGCATTAACGAAACAAGCGTTATAGCAGGACTACCTGTATCTCAAACCCTACAACCCTGGCAACATCCTTATAAATCTTTTCTGAACCCTTTCAAGTTTCACAACATCTTTCCTATAGCAGGGAGACCAGAACTGGACATAGTATTCCAAAAGTTGTGTTGCTACTGTGTCGTAGCAACATGAAACTGCTAGCTCCACAGGTTGCGCTCTCTCATAAAGTATAAATATTGTTTGTCTTTACGTTAGTATTCTTGCTGATGTCCTGATGAACTAATCTGTATTTACAAAAATTAAGATGGGTGTATACTGGTTTTTTTTAAAAACAAATCCGCATCAGTGAAAATTACAGCGTTGTAGAAAATCAGAGATAGCAAGAACTGCAGATGCTGGAGTCAGAGACAACAGGGTATGGAGCTGGAGGAACACAGCAGGCCAGGCAGAATTTCTGAAGCAGGGTCCTGACCGGAAACATCAGCTTTCCTGCTCCTCTGCTGGCTGTCCTGCTGTGTCCCTCTAGCTCCATACTGTGTTGTCAGAGTTGTAAAAACTGCTGTTTAAAAATGGTTACTGAATGCTTTGTTTTACATTGTGATTTTTCTAAAGGGCAAGGATAGTTGAAGGCCAGTAAATTCTACTCCATGTGTAGCCAAGTTCTATCTTAGAAAGATGGGTGCAGCAAATTTATCTACTTCTATTTAAAATGCATGAGTCACTATATTTGTTGCTTCACTGTGATTATGTAAACTCCCTGACACTCTGTCTCTGTGGCAGCCTTGCCAAGTAACTGCATCAACTCTTATGTCAACAGAGATAGCTCTCCAGACCAGTCCCTGAACTGACCTGGGTATACCCACACCAAAGGAATACACAACTTGGAGTGTCCCACACAAAATAACAGATACCAAAACTCAAAGTGGGGGGCTCCCATAGCTGTGTATGATGCCAGTTGTGGGTCCACCTAGCTGTTTGGTAGCCCCAATACAGTACCTGGTAATGACACACTCTCACAGAGACTCCCAAGAGGTAAACTGGGGGAAGACGCCAGATGTTGCTACTTTGGTAAATATCTTCCCTTCTGCATCACTATCGAACTAAATCGAAAGTACCTCCATCAGATATTTCCTTCACTGTATCAGTGCTGAAGGGTTGTTTCATTAGAATTTAAGGGTGTTTTTGAAATTGCCTTCGTCAGTCACAGTCCTCTGTGATTGTCACCATCTTGCACTACCTCTCCATGTCTCTCTGCAGCAGTCTTTAACACAGCTGATTGCACCATTCCCCTCCACTCCCCTGAGCTGTGTGGGATCTCCCTAGCTTGGTCTTATTTATCAAGTTGCAGTTTGCAATGAGTTCTCTGTTGACACCACCAGCGCCACCTACCAATAGCCCAAAGATCTATCCTTTGTCTTCTTCTGTTCCTTGTTTACATGCTGCCAAATCATCTGAAGACGTGTTGTTGATCCACATGCAGACTCTACATTGTGACCTCTTCTTTCAGTACTGCCTTGTACTATTGGAGCTACTTTGTGTTTAACAGCTCCAAGTTGCTAAATATCTGTACTTTTTTGAAAATAAAAGTATGGCATTAAACTCTAAATACAATATGTCAATGTTAATCTGTAAAACAAGGTTAGGCCTTTGTAGGGGTAGGGCAACAGACTGGTTGGAAGATGTGTTCACTCATTGATATGTGCTTTCTTGAAGTGTGACTGAGTCGGGTTTGCTGGCAAGTGTGACCAGAGTGAAGAAGAGCAACTTTGAGAGGGAACAAATCCGGGATTCCTCCGTATGAGACTTGGCAATTTAGGATTGACGGTTACCAAGGAAGAGGCCCTTGGATCTCCACATGGACATTGGGAGACGGAAGTAACGCAGGAATTCAAAATGGATAAAGTGGATTGGCAAATACTGTTGGCAATTCCCATTGTAAAACTGTTAGGCAAATAAATGACCTGTACATATGTAATACATAAAGATATATCTTTATATAACCCAGTAAATTGGAGTATATCTTCCTGAA